AGTGACCCTTTTTGATACTTGGAGAAAACAGACACATCGTCTACCAATCTAATCCCAAAGAGAAATTTCCGTTCTCGACCAAGATGTACCATAAACTCGTACTCATTATAGGCACATAAGAAACAAGCTAGACCCGGACTTGACGGTTTACCCATAGGTATCCCTACCTTTTGCTGCAACAAAACCTCCATGGCCATTAGGTAAGTATTCCCGAGATCGAAAACCACCATATCTAGAAGTACTGAAAATTTAATACGGCGAAATCCTGCCGGGGCCTCTTTTCGTCTACCTAAAAGTGCTCCTCTGCCTCTTTTCTTAATAAATATATCGGAATATTCGTTTTCCTCAAAAACACTAACTAACCATTCTACTGCTCTAATGATGGATGCATGAGTCAGGGCCGTTAACATCTCTTTGATGTCAAAACTCGAGGCGATCACTTCTTCATCATGTCCAATAGACCTATTGAACTGGTCAAGCCTTCCAATCATGTCACAAGGGCTCCTTAAATTGAAGTGTGACTGCTCGGGCAACGCCCACAGCAGGTGATTGATGGATTTAGAAACTATTCTACACAGTCTTACTAAAGGGTCAGAGAAGGAAGGACAAATTGGATGCCACTTCATTATATTCTTATGCTTAGGCAACCCATACGTTCTACCCAACTTCCCCTGACGATTAAATGAACAATAGCGCTGGAGACCGGATGCTAATAAGCTCTTGTGCATACCTTCAATTACTTGTGACTCGCTTGAWTCGATCAAATGTAARTCCTTTATTCTTGATGAACAATGTTTCCATACCCTGCCTAAAAATAKTCGGGCAACATACAAAGGAGTCTCCCAAATTATGGTAAATGGGGCAGATAACAAGACCTTCCAACTTCTTTTCGAGTTCTTGGACGTGTTGCARCTCCTCCCCCGTTTGGGACCATTGTCCTTGGCGATGATTAAAACACTTACAGAGCTCCTCATCAGGAATGTAGAAAGCCTTCGTGTCCTTTTGCATATCCTCCAATCCATCCAAAATGCATTTTTTGAGGGCAACACGATTATTACGAAAACCAGAAAACATAATATTTTTACTGTTTTTTGCGAAACCTGAGACCCACTCGGCATCACTGAATCTAAACGACACATGACCTTCAGTTCTAGGTAAATCAAGATGTTGACAACAACATACGGGACTTTCCTGATGTGAAAAACTCCTGAAATTGTAAAGCCAATCGCCAACGGTTTTGTTCTTACACAAGACAACCCTTAACTTCCTGCACACGATCTGTTTCAGCGGGTTGCGGAATGACGACGAATGGACAGTCGAAAGGCATACATCGCGGATTCGTTTCTTAGACAAGGTGACATCAAATGGAATCCTAACAACAACTTTAACCCTAATAGTAATAGAAAACTTACTCTTAATTACTCGAGCTAAAATCGCTCTGAGTTTTGCTCGACTCTCTTTCCTCGAGAAACATCGTATGCAACTATAGAGTTGTACAAGCCTATCAAGTGGCTCTCGGTATAACTTACTGCATGTGGAGGGACTACTTAGGAGTTCAGTCAAACAACTTTTCAGTTTTTCGAATCGTGAGCAAAATTTCGAAATTGACTCAAAACCCAAAACAACCCCTGCCACCAATGAGTGCCTACAACGTCGAAGCAGCTCAACCCTCTCCCCAATTCGTACTACGGAGGACCCATAACAACGTTTTAGTAATTTCCATTTCTAGGTCAAAATATCCCCACCAGAACATCTGATCGTCACTTTCCCGATTTTGTGTTCAAAACATTTATCAAGAATAGACCGAAGACTAGTGGATGAGTCCCCTGTCTCAGATCAGAAAAGAACGAAGGACTTTGCTGCGTCGCTACCGTAAATTAATCTTGCCTCGTTTCTTAACCTCCATCGTTCCCTCTCGTGTTTGCCTGGTCTCTTTTTCCTCCTCTCGCGTCTTCGTCCCTGAGTCGGAATAGAGTTGAGAAACGGATTGAAGGTACAAATGAAATACGACTCAATGTTAAGCAGTTGATCTAAGTAGGTGCTAGCAATCGGTATCGCAACATAGCCACTAGTCCGTTCTCGTCGTAACCATATGTACAGGCGGTGATTCCTCACATTGTTGCTACATGTAGAATAGGCACGACAAAGATGTTCGTTCCAACGATATTTCAAGGATCTAGAAGAACAGTCGACATAAATATGCTTACACCATGGGGAGACTAAAACGTAGATCAGAGGACCAGGACATGAAACAAAATCATACCCGACTGAAAATAAATAACGCAAGTACGGAATGAGCTTCACACACCATGAAATTTGTCGAAGCAGAATGAGAAAGATAACCGTAAGCTGAAACACACCATCAATCTTGCCGTCTCGCTGAAATCTTCGATTTTCTCGTAGGTCTCGACATGTTAGAGCCAGATCCTTGAGATCACCGACGCTTGGAGGTAGATCCTAGCAGCCGGACGTAGTATCTTCTTCATCGCCGTCACGTTCACTGCTACCGGCCACATCCTCCGACATCTTTGAATCTTCATGTGTTTCGATATTATCAACCAACTTTCCAAATGCACGATCGGTGTAGGCGTTAGCAATGTCAGTAGCAGAAACCTTGATGGTGACATACTCCAAATGCTCTTCTTTGCACAACGTTTCGATCTCCTTCTTCTTCAGTTTGGACAGCTCGACGTATACTCGTTTGTTAAAATCCTCTCGCGTTTCATCTTTCAGTTTGATAAATTTCACGCCAGTGCACCCCTTTTCTCCACTCTTRTGTTTAGCAGGACTAGATGCTTGGCTCMGTCTGATCCGCAAATTGGAGGGCGGCGAAACACTCTTACGCAACACTCTCTTCCTTTTGATGCTCGTTGGGGTCCTTGTAGCAGCCCCAWTCCTATKKATCCTTTCTTTTAGTGCCTGAACTTSTCTCTCAGCCAGGTCTTTCTCGTCTCACATCCTCCTGTACGCCTCGGACAACTTGAYATAGTCTYCAGCGGTCGGAGTGTGGATTGATTTCCCCTTCTCCTTGGCTACTGTCAGTGTAGCATCGGCCACACCCGCCACCGGTTTCGTCAATTTTAGAAGTTCTCCTACCTGCTCCTTTAAATTGATGACGTCTTGTATCAAATGCTGGTTATCCATACGCAGAGAATTCAGCTCCTGCTTGTGTTGACCAGACTGTGGTTGA